AAAATACAAACACTTAGGTTTTTCCCTACATGATCAGAACGACCGTATGTTTCAACCAGTCCATTGGTTTCAATTCGCAGACGATGCTGTAGTTATCACCAGCAATCAGAAAGAAAACCAACTTCTACTGAATTGTTTCACTCGCTGGTGCCAATGGGCTTACATGATCATACGTGTCGATAAATGCATCACTTTTGGAATAAATTAATTTTCCACACGTTCTCTTCAATATCAACCTAAGCTTTTCATAAACAACAAACCTATCCCATCTGTCTCTAATGGAAACTCTTTCAAGTACCTCGGTCGTCATTTTGACTTTGAAATGACAAACCGATAACATAAATCTGACCTTTTATCATCACTGTCCAACATGCTTAAACAAATCGATTCCCAGCCTCTTCATGCAAAAAATAAGCTGCGTCTTTATCACAACTCTGTTCTTTCTAAAATCTCCTGGAACCTTACTGTAGCAGATCATTCAAAGACGTGGGTTGTCGAGAATCTTGACAACCTCGTATCCAAATACATCCGCCAGTGGCGCGACCTCCCAATAAGTGCTACCTTGAGTAGCATTATTCTTTCTAAAAACCAGTTTGGACTCAGCCTAACTTTACCATCCACCAAATTCCTACAGTGCCAAACAGTTTTACGCAACACATTGAAATCTTCACCAAACGATAACATTCGCTCTTTATCGAAAAATGCCAGCAGTAGCATAAATATACAATATGATTTATATATAGGAACACCAAAAAAGCATTAAAGGCTGTCCAGCATGAGCATAAAGATCGTCTGCAAAACATCCTAACCTCCCAAGGATCTTTATTATCACATCTCTTTAACCAAAATCTTCCACAAATAAACAAACCTTGGTCCAAGGTGCAAAGTAGCATACCTCAGAATATTTTTAATTTCACCATAAGGTACCTGATCCCTTGCCACACAGAAAAACCTGAAAAAATGAAACTTGAGCCAGACCTCTGACTGTTCTTTCTGTTTTCTGCCAGAAACCCTCCTTCACGTTGTTGCTGGCTGCAAAACATATCTGGAACAAGGCCGATACACCTGGCGACATAACTCTATCCTAAACTTTCTAGCTATGTCACTAAAAGCTGTCAATTAATCTACCATCTACGCTGATATACCTGGCTTTCTTTCACCAACAATCATAACTGGAGAAAACCTTCGCCCTGATCTTCTCTGAAGTCCTCAGACTAACAACAATTACATCTACATTTTAGAGCTAACTGCTGGCTTCAGAAGCGGACTGGCCACCGGGACACCGGGAAATTTCCCGGTGCGCCCTCTGCCCTAAGTTATTTTTTTCAAAAACATTAAAACTTTCAAAAGGCAACTAATCTTCGCACAGAACTAAAATTGATTACAATCATCAACTGTCCAAAGTACGTTTGCATAAAAAGTTTAGCTTAACTTTTAAGTTGAGCAATATTAAGATTGATAGCAAAGTTTACTAATCTGCAAATTCTGCAAGATTTTCTGAAAATCTTGTAAAGAACATGTTTTGCTTTGAAAATGACTTTGAAAAAAGCAAATATTTTAAACATATTAAGCTTTTTTGCCTGAAACTCCTCAGAGTATGAAACGTCTTGTAATTTTGGTTAGCCTGTAATTTTTTCAAGCAAGTGCACAATACTTGAATTAATTCGATTTCTGTGGAGGGGGTAGTAGGGATTGTCACTAGCTTCCTAACAGACTATTGACTGATGACTAATAATTTTGTGAAAACAAATGACTTTTGACTAACCTTCTTAGTTTTTTGACTTATGGCTAATGCAACTTAATCCTAGTAGCTGATATCCAATAACTGGGGGCTCGCACTTTGAAAAAAAATTAGCTGAGCACTACCCTGTGCTCTTTCTAATCAGAATGGCTGTAACTGGATGAAATTATCGATGTGTTGGCTATTGGGTATGGCAACGTTCACATCTTATGTAATCAAAGATGGGGAGGGGGATTTTTACAAACGTTACAGCTATAACGGTCATTTTGGCTATTTGTTAAAGTTTGATAAAATAGTTGTTTAAAGAGAAGGATATTTTTGTGTTGTCTCTCTTGAAAAATAGTCCTTTTTTCTTTGGGCCATCAACCATCCCTCGATAGTGAAAACTGCTCTAAGAATGATAGAGGACAATACTTCCTGTCCGTGGCAAGCTATTATGTTTTGCAATTCAACTAACAACTCATAGACATCCTGCTTTTCGTGCGTTAAAACCAGGAGTTTTGTACCAAAAGAAATTATCACTAACTGAAGTCAAGAATATTGACCACTTTTTAAAAATATTTATACAGAATTTTTTTAGGATTGATGCCCTCAAGTAAGAACCTTCTAGATATTTAATGGAAAGTTAAACCAGCTGTTTTGAAAAAAACTGGTTTCAAATTTAAATCTAGCTAGTAAAGTTTTCCAAGCTTTCTTCAAATTTTTGTCCCGAAAAGGAACTGTGCCTTTTCTTATAAAAAATTCTTTATCCTTTCACCATTTTTACGCACAGTTTCTCATAGAGAGGGAGCTTATCAATCTGCAAAATCATCAATTTGCACAAAAAGGATGGCAGCACGATCTCTTAAAATCCATTTGTCAAATATATGTTATCAGATATCTTTCAGAAAAGTCTACGGTTTTGAGCACATGTTCAATACCTGATCATAATTCCACACGCTGATAAACTGGAAACATATCTTTTGTAAATGATATGTAACTGTAGCGTGGAGGCAGGAGCAACATAGTCATTAGGCTAGCAGGTGCTGAGGCACCCCTTTACATTTCTCAATGATATTCTGCGAAACTTGCAAAAGATTTTATGTTACCGTTTGATGAGAACGAAGTCATATATTTCGTCAAATTTCTAAATATTTTGAGATCGAATTTAATCGAAAACAATCTCATCTTCTAGGCCAGAGAAGCTGCTTTCTTTATAAAATCTTGAAAGAGAGTATCTCGCTAACTGAAAAACGGGCTTTGGGTTTGAGTCCAACTTTCAAAATCTATCATTTGATATCATCATTTGATACATGATATCAAAATTGAGGACAATACGTCATTTGATACCTACAAATTTTACGGAACATTGGACATGTTCCGACATTCTAAATAGGGTGTTTTCAAAACATTTTCCGGAGGCAAGCTCCTGAGCCCACGTTTCATTTTTTACCTAGCTCTCTCATTCTGTTGTCCATTGCCAAGGGTTTTAAGGATGAATTATGACAATGTTTGCAACAAACTGATTCTCAGTTAAGGCACAACTCGGGGCCCGTTTTACAAGCCCCCAAAATAAGCAACTTTAACACCTATTGGTGCCCTTTTGCTTGCTTTTCCGGTGAGTTGAAGGGTAGCCAGGCCGCCACTGGTTGGCTTCGAATCTAATTTTGACACAAATGCAACAAGAAAACATAGCAAGTATGCTCCTCTCTTATCTGGTTTACAGCGGCAGTTCAAATGTGTCTCCTTTGTTAATCTTTCTATGAGCTCTCTTCGGCAATTCCTGGAATTCATTCTTCAAAATTTTTCAAAAGGCCCTGTCACCAACCTAAGACCAGTGAGAAATATTACTCCCAATACTGAGAAAGATCTTGTCAAACAAAATTCTACATCGCATTCAACCTAAGGTAGAACAATTCTTATCAGGTTCACAAGCAGCATATCGACCGAGTCGCAGTACTTCAGATATAGTGTGGGCATACAAATGGATCAGTGCAAGACACAAAAATCACAAATTAAAGTTTACATCACTAGCATAGATATGAGTAGCGCTTTTGATACAATCCGACGTGAAAAGCTTGTTGATATTGTAAAGAAATTCCTCGACGAAGACGAAGTAAGAATGATTCAGTTGTTGTTAAGCAATACACCTCTAGATGTAAGAATAAACAACGCCGAGACAGAGCCCTTCAGTAGCAATATGGGCTCTCCACAAGGTAATGCAATCAGCAGTGTACTGTTTAACATTTATTTTGAGGAATCACTCCGGAAAGTAAGGAATTTTAGACATGAGATTAACAGTAAAGATGATGAAAATGTGGTAACTGGTCTCCAACATTTTTACATCAGGAAGCTTTACTGTGATATTGCATCTGTTATATCACCTGAAATTGTGACTGCTAATGCTGCATGACCGGATCTGCTTGTCGTGGATGGAATCAACAATTTGTTTATAGTCGAACTAACAGTAGGCCACGAATCTAACACAGTGGCAAATGCAACAAGGAAAGCAAAGAAATATGAACATCTTTTTAATGATAGTGACCTGAAACGTTCGCATCGAAAAATCTGTTTTGTGAATCTTCTGATGACTGCAATCAGAGGGAATTTTTCAAAATGCTGAAAGATTTAAATATTGACAACACAGCCGCAACGTACATTTCTACAAAACTAACAGAAATTTGTATACACTCGTTTTATTATATTTTTTGTATGAGAACGAAAGAATGGATGGAGCCGGATCTAATGAACTTCTAAGTTGAACCTTACCTTACCTTTTGTTAATTATTCTAAAGCATCTATGCGAATGCAGGCAGACCAGGCCTACAATGTAGTGAGTAGTCTGACTCTGTTAATATTTTTTTTGAAACTTGAATTAGAATATCCTTTATCCCATCTTTTAAAGTAGTATGTGATTTAGATTGCTATCATCATGAAAAGTTTCCATTATTATCGAACTGTCGTCCATAAATACTATCAATTTACAAAAGATCGATTTATATCAATGGGCTTTCCCTTATATAAACGTTTTCTATCTAACTGCAGATTGGTTAAAAGGTAGAATTATTTTGGTTTTAAACTGTAATTGATTTTCATGGTTCCCGAAAATTCAACCCTTTTGGTGTTGCTGGGGCTACAGTGTTATGAATCGCGCGAAAAGATTTATAAACCTCATAAAAAATTCAATGGAATAAGAAAGGAAGCAAATTGAATTTTTATTTCTGCAGGTGATCAGATTTGATGGAGAGACGGGTGCCATGCAGCACTTACCTTAATAGTGCACTTCAATTTGTCAAAATCACTCAGCAAGTCAGAAAATTGTAGTGAAAACATGGCCTTTGTTCACTACTGTAGGCTGCTTGGAGTCTTTGCCTTTGGCCTCACGGTCTATGGATACATGCTACGTTTACCATGTAAGACATTAGCTGATTTTTCTATTTTCCACAAGGGAAGACGACTTAGTGATAACGTGTTAAAAAAAGACAAAGGACTAGATGAGAGTCAGTGCATGATGAAATGCGTCGAGCATCGAAAATGTCGCTCTTACAATTTGAATGTTAAGGAAAAACTCTGTGAACTGAACAGTAAAGCACACGCTGACAATGGCACAGTGCTTGCTGAAGAAACAGATTGGACCTATAAGTCTACTGACTATAGTAATCGATTGGTAGGTATGCTCTAACTTCTCATTCACACTGTACATCTATTTCATTATAACAAAACTATAAACTTTGTCCAGCGTCGATATTCTTGAGGAGTTTTTCTTTTAAGCCCAAAAATATTCTTAGTCTCTTAGAAGTAGAGTTTTCTTATTTCTTTCAAGTTTCATATAGTTCCGGGGAACAGCGCTGGCCCTCGAACAGGAGTCACCTTTTTTGAAAAGCGTGTTGTGAATATCGCAAAACAAGCCACTGCTGATAACAAGGATGAAAAATGTTTTGAGCCAATCAGACTGTTTGTTTACAATTTGAACCAGCCAATGGTATAGCGTCAAAGACAATAGAAATCTGGAGAGAAAATAGCATCGAATCAGCCGCAACAGTAACGCTCGCACCTCCTATCCAAAGCTGTGGGGAAAAACAGGCGCCACAAAAAGTTAACGCTGAACGCGAAAATTGTCATTATTGAAGTGCTTCATACAATTATGCATAGCAAAGGAGTATATCTAAAACTTTGCCGTCCCCATTTTTGAAATTCGGTCGTTAACCAGAGATAAGCGATGAAACGTTTAGCCCATTATTGCCCTGATTGAATCTGCTTACGTTGGTTATGGTTGGTTGTACTCCAAGAAAGCGGCATCATGTCATTTTATTGAAAAACAGGTCATTTTGAAATCTTTTTACAGGTCGTTGATAAAATTTAAGCAAAAAAGAAATCTTGAAAAAATTGTGCACATTTTACTTGTTATTTCAAAAATTGCTTGTTTAAAAATTTGTAAAGTAAAATTTGAAACCTCTGCATGACCTGCAAAAGTTTGAATCAAACCTTCAACTGAAAAAGCTATTGAGATATAACAAGCTACATTCTTTGAGTTCTTATTATCTTATTGGAATACAACGATCAGGGTCATTATTGAGCTTATATTTTGTAAAGTGGTACATTCTCCAACTCGTTTTAATGAAACTTTGCAAAAATATTTGAATATATTGACATGCAAAGTTGGGAAACCTTGAACCTTTCACTCAACAAAGACGCTCTACGTTTTACAGTAAAGAAGAATACAATTCTTGAACCCTCAAGCACTTCGTAAGTTCTTCTGTGTTTTTTCTTAAATGAATCCGTACGTAAGTCACTAAAAAAACCAGAGGATTTATTTCAGTGGAGAAAGATAGCGTGGGCCGTTGCGTGCTTAGAGAAAACATTTTATCGTTTACTGTCTAACGTTTTGAAGCCTTTATAACAATTCGTGTCCACAAAATTCGTTGACAAATCGCCTAAAAAACTTTGCCATGAGAAGAACCATTGCTTGCACCTACAAAAATACCAAAAACAGGAATAGGCATATGATTTTGGAATAAATATTTGCAACAATGCCCCTATTTTCTCAAGATATGCATTTCTTCTATACGCAACACTCTAGAACGCACTCAATGAAAGAAAGTTGACGGACTGTCTTAGGGTTAAGAACATGCAAGAAAAAGGCAGAATGAAGGGAAAAAACCCGAGTTTGATAATCATCTCTCCGTCTTACTTTAAATATACGACGTACATACTTTGTAAGTAAAAAATGACCTGTTTTTCAATAAAATGACATGATGCCGCTTTCTTGGAGTACAACCAACCATAACCAACGTAAGCAGATTCAATCAGGGCAATAATGGGCTAAACGTTTCATCGCTTATCTCTGGTTAACGACCGAATTTCAAAAATGGGGACGGCAAAGTTTTAGATATACTCCTTTGCTATGCATAATTGTATGAAGCACTTCAATAATGACAATTTTCGCGTTCAGCGTTAACTTTTTATGGCGCCTGTTTTTCCCCACAGCTTTGGATAGGAGGTGCGAGCGTTACTGTTGCGGCTGATTCGATGCTATTTTCTCTCCAGATTTCTATTGTCTTTGACGCTATACCATTGGCTGGTTCAAATTGTAAACAAACAGTCTGATTGGCTCAAAACATTTTTCATCCTTGTTACTGCTGATGAGATGCGAGATGAGACTGAGCAATATCATAATTGAGCAATATATATCGACAGCAAAAACCTGCTATTCCGCTATCGGAGAGCATTTAATAAAAACCCCAGATTGTGCAAAAAACTTTAATGGCGCCATTTTTCGGATTATTGGCAAAGCCCGATCGTCGTTCCATCTAGCAGTTTTGGAATCTATCTACGTGAAGATGAAAAAGCCACATTTTTGTTGACAGAAGGAGTTTTTTTACCGTAGAACTCCATTGGTAACATTCTCGACAAAGCGGCACTTTTTGGGCAACATCACTCAACATTCATATGCTCGCACCTCTGATTGGCCAATTTCGATCCAACTGGGTATTATGGTATATATATTTCCTAGCGTAGAGTTTTCGACCCATGTTCTGACGTTCTATACTCGGAAGAGTGTCAGACGAAAAGCTTTAGAAACATTTTTCAAAATGTTTGCTTTTTTCAAAGCACTTTTAATATCTTTTAAAACTTGGCGATTCTGAGCTTGACTGCTCTTACAAACAATGTGAGTCCGAAGAGAAGTAAATTCGTCAACAGTGCAATCAAATACATCCTTATTCGAACAAATGAATCTCTGCGTCTTGCGTACTAAGATCAGAATTTACCAGCTTTGTAATGCCCCATGTTTGCTTAAACCACAGCATTTCTAAGTTACATTTCACTGTTGAAATATAAGCCATTGCATGGGTAACATGAAAGATGGATCAAATAGCCCCTGCTCATTAGATCTCAAACCTTGTGACATAAAGCAGCTCAAGCCAAGCACTAATTTTAACAGTTTTACAGAAAAGGAAGTTTATTTTGTAGCTCAATTTATGAGTGAAAAAATGCTGACCCAGTTTTCTTACATCTGATAATACCGTAATTTCACAAATACCACAAATACCTTTAATACCCGTTGCACAATAGCTTTATGTTTAAACTTTTTTTACTAATCTTACTTTGCTGCAGGTAGGTTAGGTTATACCCGAGCTGCTGCAGGTAGGGAAAACAAAGAGAGCGTTTTGATATTAAATGGCTTCTATGCTTAACAGTAGCTACTTAAATAGCTTATGTTCTGTTCGACCAAGTCCTGTTGCACAAAAACTATCGTAAAAGTATCAATCTAAAGATATCTATCTGTAATCGCTGAAAATATGAATAAAATTCGCATTTTATCTACTATTACTAAGCATGCTAACTATCGTTGATCCGTTGAAACACAAAAAATTCGTTCATTTAATGCCTTATTCCCAAAGATATCAGCATTTTCGTGAAATGAATTTTTTTAACACTGTCACTAGCCTTCTTGCTTCAAACAAAAGCTCAGCTGTGCTGCCTTGCTCTTTGCCTCCCTGAGCTTGATGGACAGGCCATAAATAACTAGATTAATGCTAACCTTCTTTCTTTCCAAACGTGGTCGTTGAAAATAAATACTAAAGTTTGGGAAAACTAAAGTATGATTGTCACGTAATCTTTCGCATAATAATCTCTTTAGGTCGGTGACACCTGCATGGAGCTGCAGCCTTGCAATGACGGTGTCCTATGCAAAGATACCTGTAACCCTCCATTTTATGAATGCAAAGTATGCGATGAAAACCATACAGGACTGCACTGTGATACACCTATAGGTATGAGCTTCGAAAATCCATTCCATTACTTCATTTGCAAATATGTTTGCTGGAGGTTACTTGCAAAATAAATGCTAGCCTTCTCAATGATGAACAACATTCATATTTTAGGGAAGGAACATTTAGAGAAATCAATGATTTAAAATCTCTCATTCTTACCAAACTTTTTGACTTATTGAAATACATTCTGAAGCCAAAAAGAGGCATCTTGAAGTGAATATTACCACTATGAGAAACATCGTTAAACGTTATGACTAGACTACAGATTAAATAGAACTTTCTTAATGGAAATTAGCTATGCAAATTTGAAACATTTATGCAATAAAAAAATAACAACAAACATTTTTAAGCAATAAATGTTTTTAATAATTTGCTATTATTCATTTTCAAGTAAATAACCTTAATTATTTTAGATCCCAACAAATGCGCCGAAAATCCATGCAAAAATGGCGGAGTATGCATCGACTTGTTTGCATCATATGAATGCAACTGCCAGAGCGGTTACACTGGAAAAGACTGCGAATTAGGTATGCGAAAATGGGAAAATTTTCGATTAAAGCAATCTATAAAATTGTACAAAAGAAATTTGGATAGACAGACGAAGAATTAGCTTGGGCAATATCGTTCATATCGTGGAGAATTGCAAGATGTTAGATCAAAAATATTAGATAACTCTTAAAATGGGTCATCAAAAATGAAACTTTTATTTGCTACACTTGTCACCAAATTTATTTTGAGCCTGCGCTAACCCAACTATATCCCAGTTGATTCAAGAATCGATTCGAGCTTGCGTGAAGATACGTGAAGCCAGAACATAAAAACTCACTCACAAGAAACTGCAGGCTTTTTTAAGTTTATGTACCAAATTATAAAAAAATTGGCGAGCCTGAAATTTTCTCAGTTTCTCATAACTCCTCATTTTGAATAAAGCTTCTGAAGTAAAGTAATTGCGAGGAGCAATTTTCTGCTAGAAATATAGCTTTTAAGTTATTGAGCACTGTCCTGTGCGAATTATTCAATTCCTACTAATTTATTTATGGTTCTCCATATTAATAACATTAATAAGTAAGAAACATTAATAAACAAGAAGATAAATACTACGAAATAAGAATGGTCGTTCGTAGTTAGTTTTTGATACTTCTCTTAAAGGTGGCAAGGGAAAGTGCCTGTTTGGCATCAGGTTCAAGTTGGTTCCAAAGCTTAGGTCTACGAAAAGAAATAGCTCTCTGCCCATTGTTTGTTTTCCGTAAGTGTAGCGAAAGATCGGTATCGGTATTTTTCAGTTTTCTCACAATTCGAGTGGAATTTTTTTCGAACAGGTTGGAAAGGTACTCTGGGACGAGCCCATTTAACGACTTGTACATTATTGTAGCTGTTTCGCTTCTAATAATGTCATCTATGGTTGGCCAACCCAGACTGCGAATCAGTGGCATAGCAGGCGCATCAACTCTGCTTTTAACTACTTTTCTAGCTGCTCGATTTTGCAGCTTTTGCAAGGATTGCAGTTTATTCACCCCACAGCACTCCCATACCAAACAGCAGAGCCGAAAATGGGGCTCGATGATACCCCGATACATTTTACTCAACGTGTTTTGAGGTAAAAAATTTCTGGAATATTTAAAAAATCCGATTGCCCGAGAAACTTTGGGACGGAGACTGTTGACGTGTTCTTCCCAATTTAAGCTGCTATCGACACCCAGATACTTTGTTTGGTCAACATTTTCAACTTGAGAGTCACCAATAGCCCTCTTTTTTCAATAAGCTTTTGTATTTAGGGCGTAATACATGGCGCAGGTTGATTGCTAATCTTTTGTTATCCTAATTGGTGCATGTATACTTAGTAAACCGTCAAATATCTCTTGAAAATTATAGGTCATTAGTTAGTGATTCAGGGAGCTGAGAAAGCACAAGCTTCCCATTCATCTATTTTTTTAATTTTCTTTATCTCATATAAAAAGTTACAATGATGAATTACTAACTAACGAAATTACTATACTACGAAGACGATACCAGGAGGAACAAAATATCATGACTACCCCCTGGCTTTGGATCTTTTGATTTTGCAAAATAAAATGAAAAATAATTACAAGTTACGAGAAATTACAAGAAAGAAGAATCACAAGCTTTTGTTTCTTATTCAAAACGTTTGGAGGCGTGGATATAAGCTAGCGTTGCTTTAAGAATTTTCGCATTTGATTCGGGCTTTCGAATTTTTGCTAACTGTATTTATTTCTTGTAGGGCATCTAAGAATTTTGCTTTAACGTAATTTTTCAAAATTTAGGTTTCTTGATTTTTAGAACTGATCCTCCACACATTCAATTTCGGAATGGCATATAACATATAGTGAGCTACTATACCCGATTGTAAGACCCTAGATCTAAATATATACTTTGGCTTATTTGTCGAGAAATGGTCTATAAGCGTCGTGTTTATGTTGATAACATGTTAAATTTGTGAAATTTCTGCAAGGTTTTGAAGGAATTTTGATACCAAAATTGGTTTAAGGCGTCAAATCTCGTCGAAAGAATGATCAAAACAATCTTCCAGGTATCAAATGCTTTACAATGATCAAGAGCACGGCATGTTACCAATTTTCAAGTTTGCTCTTAGCAGCTGAGCTAAAGTAACTTTCTGCTAGAAAGGAGGGTTAATGAAATATTATTCTCTTCAGCCACACCCTGCGAAGAAGGACAAAGAATCATGCTAAGAAACAACTTCTTTTGTGTTAAGAGTAAGTATCAACATTTAGTGTTTACTTTTATGTTAGTCTGCGCCTTGGTTTAAAGAACAGGGAAGAGTTGCAACTCCAAAGTTAGATAGGCTCTTGAGGTTGCCTGATGACCATATCAAGCGTGAAACTCAAAGTTAAAACCCAGAAAAGCATCCAATTTTATAAACAAAAGAAAGAAAATAGCCTTAAGGACGAATATGACCCTAAAGAATTGATACAAAGTAAAATTTATAAAGTGTTTTCGATTGCATAAAGACGCACGAAAGTAACTTTTATATACTATGATTTAGTGGAATTAATCGGTAAAGTTTAAAATGCTATTACTCACATGTTTACACTTTTTCATGACTGCCAGATGAACACAAACGATATAATGAAGCAAAATGTCTAGAGCTTTAAGGAAAGACAACTCGAGATAAATAGTTACCTTTTCTTACCTTTCTTTATTATCTTTAGACGCTGCAAAAAACAAACCAACTAGCCAATCAAGTGAACTAGCCACTGGAGCATCGGCAAAAGCTGTTGATGGATCAAGAAGGTCTAGTTATAACGAGGGTTCTTGCACACACACAATTACTGAAATGAAACCATGGTGGCAAGTTGACTTGGAACAAAAATATGATATTCTTGGTGTTAACATCACAAACAGATCCGATTGCTGCAAGGACAGACTCAGAAATTTCAAAGTGACTGTCGATTCAGCTCAGTATGTAACTTGAATCTTTTTGAAAAATTAACTTTAAGATAGCAGGGAATAGCGAAGAAAACATAGCATACTTTTGTCTAACGCTCGTCAGAGTGTACACTGTGTAATATTGAAAATAGAAAAGATCTGCAGTATCATGATCACAACTTGGTCTGACTTGCGTAGCCTTTCTACCCCAGCTGGAGGTGACAGCTTCGCAATTTCTATATCCGCTCCCATTGACGTCGTTCACTAAATTTTAGTCAGGATTCATAATGTTATAATATTAACTTATTGTGAACAGGAGTTGGATCTGTTTACATCAAAACAAAGGATCCCGACTTGTGAAGACAGAAAGAGTTAATTTTCTCTCTTGGACTCTTCAATTAGGTGAGAGTTTTGCGGTCGCTGATTGGTAGAAACAAGATAGCCAATCAAACGCGTCTTTCTTTCTCTCACGTTACTTTCGATCCACACCTGGATACAAAGTTTCAGTATACTTTCAGTCATTTTCTGACGTTTGTTCACAGAAGAGTGTCGGACGAAAAGTGCTTTAGTATGCTATGTTTCCGGTATTTCGTACAATCTATATTTTTTATGAAATTTACAGCTGCAATTAAATGTTTAGAGAAGGTAAGCAAAATTTATATCCGATGGTAGAGCGAAAGTATGCCTTGTTTGCGCTATTTCGTGATATCTTCAAATTTGTGGTCCTTTGTCCTGAAATGTAGAAAGTAGAATAAAGCAAAAATCTTACTTTTTCGCTCTCTATCTTTAATTTTCCTTTATGATGGCAAAACCTTGGAGTTACCAATATTCTTTAATAGCTTCTAATACCAGACTTACTGCTTACTGCTCTATACACACATTTTTTTATTTATATCATAATTTTTTTGGAATTCATATCATATTATCTATGGACTGAAGATTTTTATGATATTGGTTTTGATTATGATAAAAATGCTAATTACTTTGAACTTTAACAAACTTCCGATCTGAGCAAATAATATTTTATTGTTAAGGTGCTATCACGTAGCGGGAAGTTTAGCAGAAGTTATACAAACCACATTGTACTGCGAAAGAATTCTGGAAGGCCAATTGGTAAAAATACAGCTCGAGGATGTAGGTACCTTGACACTTTGTGAGGTGGAAGTAATTGCTGTTCTGCAATTCATATAGCAGCAATATCTTGATAACTAGTATCTTACATTTGGAGGTATGAATATCTTTCTCTACTTCTTTATGCTATATAGGATTTTATGGATTCTTATGTCTATATCATTGTGCTCAGGAGGACATAGAACATCAACAATTCAGCTCGCCGTTCAATGGGCAAGGAGAGAGAGCGGGGGGAGGCTACTTCTTCAAAAATTTACAAAAGAATCGTTTATGTAATTCCTCTGCAACAGGGTAGAAATCTATTGCGTGTTATCTTAGCTTCAAAAGTATCTTTTCCAGTGCGCATTCGAGCCTCTTGAATCTCTTCGGAGATAGCTAGTCAATGAATACTACTGTAAGAGTTTTTTAAGAACAGCATTGTCTCACAGAGTTTACCAGTCAAAATATATTCTAACGTCAGCGATATCGATAAAGTAGGATGAGTACCAATCCAATAATTGTTTTCCTACGACCTGATGAGCTTCAGGATGGTTTATACACTTGATACATATCGTTTGATAGCCGCTTGCTGCTGAATGTGTACCAGAACAACAACAACGTTACTTTTGATCTTTCCAAAAAATTTCCGTTTAGCAAATTTCCCAGAACTGGCAATATGAATCACTTTTTTATAATTCTAGGCTTCATCCTAAGCAAGTCAGTAAAAACCTCCTGGTGCTATCAGTTCTGATTTTCCGTATCATGTCAGAGATTGGACATACGAGCCTTTGCTCACAGTAAATGTTTTTGCCCTGTCGTTTTTGCCTTCAAAAAGATGTCCGATTCTTTAGCATTTTGAATTTTTCTTACAAAAATAATGTTATTTTTAAAAGAAATGTTTGTTAGAGCTGAACTTGTTTTTTTCCAGCCTGTGTCATTGGCCGCATTCTGAACAAGATGTAGCAGGATATTAGGATCATTTCAAGACAAGTTACACAAAGTTTCCCGCAGCAATGGGGTAAAGGTTGAGAATGAAATTCCAAAGTTTGTCACAAATTTACAGAATCTTGTCTGGTTGATTCGACAGGGGCTCTAATGTTACGCTGGGACAAAAATGATGAAGTGTCACATTTTTCCACCTATTGCCACAAACTGTAGAATAATTAACCAATGTTGCAAATTTTCAGGTAACATGATATTTCCCATGAGACGGTTTGAGTTATCATTTTCATATAATTAAGTTTTCCACTGTAGTTTGAATCTATGCTAGCACTAATTAATCGTCGTAGATTAGAGTTACAATTTATCGCATGTTGCATTCATGCACATTTGGTAGCTTTGGTCTACGTGACATTGGTTTTATTCTTGGATTTTAGCTATAAAAACTTTACCCCCGTCTTTGTCGTCATTTAATCTCGTTGAATTCAGCTTTTTGCGGAAAGTTTTTAATCTTCCACATCCAAGCTTGGACTAAGTAAATTTTTGTTTAGGTAAAAGGTTCACTGATAGGCAAGGTTTTTAGCAATAAGGACAAATTTTTTTGAGATGTAAATACATTTATTTTAAATTGCTCTTATTATTGCAAAAGCTATTAAATAAGGCAATACTTTAATGTTAAATAATGTTGTTCTGTTACTTATATACAGATAAAGGGCACTTTATGCAATCTTTAAAAAATTGCTTATTAGCTGTAGAGTTAGGTGTGGTGCTTCATTTCTACCTCTGCATACGAAAAGTAGGACCTGCAAACTAGAAACAGATTTTAATACCTATTTATAAACAATAGTCTTCTTTACCTTAAAGTGCCACTGAATTGAAAAACTCAAAAAAAACTTTATTGATGTTCTAAGTCAAGTCAATGCTCCTGAACCCGATGGTGAGGTTTGTTTTTCGGAATTGTGAAGTGTTTTGAAGCTACAACGCTTCAAAGTTGCGATTTTCAAGACTTTTTGCGCGAAAATTTGTGCGCAGTCTGTGAGGAATTTCAGGAATGTGTTACGCATTAACGTTTATAAGTCGCGGAAGTGATGCGGGCTTCAGTACTGAAAACTGTATTTCGAGTGCGATAAAAAACCAAAAAACGTGAAGTGGATGGAAATAGTGCAATAATTGTGCTCTAAATATGACTAGCTATCTAACTACAAGACCGTGCAAGGTATTTTCTTGTGAAAATTTCGAGCCCATGCAAAGTAAGCAAACTTTTTGCGTGCAGTTTGTAGTAAGTCTTCATGCCGATCATTTATCTTTTGTGAATTATTGAGCGTGTCTAATAAGAATGCTTTACGAACAGCTTTACAAATTATGATTAAAAGTGAGCAAATTGATCCAGGGAAATAGTTGATCTATTATAGAACCACACAAATTGCACATTTTTCGGCGCTTTTCCCACTGTCCAACTTGCGTTGCCACTGTCAAAGCATCAGTTATCGCCAGGGCCGTCAAGATGGGATAAATTTCCCCAAGGCCTCGTGGTCAGGGGGCCTCAAAAAGTAAAGAAGTTCATTTTAAATGGAATTTATTAAAAGTAAAAGCAAAATTATGCCTTAAAAAGTAAAACTTTTTAAACGTTTGCAAGAAAAAGAATGAATTAAAGCTAATCTAGAATTCGTGGTTGCAAATACTGTTCGCCTATCCATTTTGGCTTCCAGAACATCTTGGCGTCCCTGGTTAAGCAGTAGCATCATTGTTAGCATCATTTTCATGGTATCGTGATCCAAAATGAAAATTTTGAAAATAACTTGTTTATCTGGAACCTTGTTCTCCAGTCTATAAGTAGCACGGTGGGATATTTTTAAGCGTCTATTCACACCCTATCTCTATCAAGTTCATGCTGGTATCGCGATCTAATGGTTAAATTGTGACAATTACTGCTAAGAGGTTTGAAATCTAGTACTCCAGTCTATAAATAGCACAAGGGAAATTTTTCGGCGTCTATTCGCATCCTATTTTTTCAGCATATCAAACTACTTATCTCTACAAAGTTCCATGCTGATATCGCGATCTAAAAGTTAAATTATGACAATCACTGCTTAGAGGTCTGAGACCTGGTACCCCAGGCTATAAATAGCATAAGGGGTATTTTTCAGCGTCTATTCACACCCTATCTTTTTGGCGTATCAAACTGCCTATCTCTATCAAGTTCCATGCTGGTATCGCGATCTAATGGTTAAATTGTGTCAATTACTGCTAAGAGGTTTGAAATCTAGTACCCCAGTCTATAAATAGCACAAGGGGATATTTTTCAGCGTCTATTCACACCCTATCTTTTTGGCATATCAAACTGCCTATCTCTATCAAGTTTTATGCTTGTATCTTCTTCTGCACAATTTGTAGCTTTTTATCTTCTTACAGCCCTCTATGGCTGAATTGACTTTATAAATCTTAATGCGTCACTCGCCCCAGCCTCTTTTGGCACGACCTACTCGCAAAAGAACACCAAAAACCCCTATTTGTTGGCCCCAAATTAAAAAACTAAACTTTTTTCAAAATCAGCGATGATTAGTCTTCCAGAATAAACAATAAAAAAAATTTCATTTTTTGCAATTCAATGGCACTTTAAGGCTTTTACTACATTTGATTTCATTTTTCAAGAAGGTGTTCATGTCGACTATTGTGTAAATATACATTCAAACAGCCGAGTGCTTTTAAACAGGAAGAATATCAATATATTCTAATCTTTAAGATAAAAATACCAGTGTAAATCTTCTAGGAAATGACCACCCCCAAGAAAATGCACTTAATCAAAGAATGCTATGATCGGCATAAAAATATCGAGCCAAAGTAAGTGAGAATTATTATGTATGAGTTGTAATTTGTGAGAGAGAGATGACATCATTCGCGTTGCATTTCTAAACTATAGTTTATCTCACACTTTGCAGTCATCAGAACTACCTTTCTCTTCCGCAGTTGCAATTTATCCGATTTGCAATTTTGAAATAAAGAACTAACCCGTTGCTCATCCGTAGCATGTTCTAAATAGACAGGTAATAGAAAATGTTATATTAACCTTTGAGACTTTGCCTAAAGTTTTTTGGGCATGAAAAATATACATTTTATACTTCTTATACCTATAAGATATTGATATTTATATTTAGAGTCTTTAGAATAAGCTAATGACCACGTTTTGAGGAAGTCCTTTCAGCTGTCTTCTCGGCAATAGGTAATGGCTACGATTGATGGAAAACTGGAAAATCAACCAGTAGCATCGCTTGATCTGCTAGACTATGAGACTCATCAATAGAAAAATTTACAGACGAAGACATACTATAGATGGAAAAGAATTTAGGTGCTATTTCATATGAAGTTAGATCCTGGATAAAAATACGAGTCGTGGTTTCGGCACCTCACCACTGTGTTTCGTGGATTCTATGAGTCGTTTTAGACATGCGATGCACCGAATCGCTTCACGAAAACGTTGTTCAGCGCGTTAGTCCCCTTGCTTTTAGACGAGTCGACGCACTGTATTGCACCTATGACGACTCGACGCACAAGTCGACGACTCGACGCACAAGTCGACGACTCGACTCACAAGTCGACGACTCGACGCACAAGTCGACGACTCGACGCACTCCCACTATTTTAACCTGTCTTAACGTCGAGGCGTCGACCTCGTTTTGGCGAAGACGAAATTTAACATGGAAGCCCAAAACACAGAAATTTTGAAGAGCTTCCTTCGGACAGCAATACAGTTAGTATTGGATTGAATGAAGCAAGGAATTCACGAGAATCCAGAAGGCTGTGATTTTCTATCTATGTACACACATGGATAGGCTATTATATATTTTAGCACAAGTGAATTTATTTTTCTGTAATTATATCCCACCAGAGATTGAGAATAGTTTGCAGATAGCAAGAGAGACATTCGCATCCTCAGGAGATATTGAACACGAGCAAGTTTTTGAAAAAACTGGAAGTCGAGGTCGCCCTACTTTACCTATTTCCAAGGATTCTTTAGAAGTATATCTAAGTTATGGAGACTCGACTGAGGAAACTACTAGTTTAGGCATTGGTGTTTGCCCTACTACCGCTGGAGGCACCCGGCCTAGGGCCTACGGGGGCAAAACTTGCTGCAGTCTGTTCTGATGCTGCTGCTGATGCGTGCATCGTCGTGACTATTGTACGTGTATCAGTTGAATTCGTGGGCACATTTGATATTGAATCGATACGTTGCAAAGCATTCTGAAGGATGCTTCTAATTTTTTCTCCATCTCGTCTTCTTGCTACATTTGGCGGGAATTCACAATGATATGGAAGGTCTCTTCGCCAAAACCAGGTCGACGCCTCGACGCATGAGGTTAAGATAGTGGGAATGCGTCGAGTCGTCGACTTGTGCGTCGAGTCGTCGACTTGTGTGCGAGTCGTCGACTTGTGTGCGAGTCGTCGACTTGTGCGACGAGTCATCGACTTGTGCATCGAGTCGTCGACTTGTGCGTCGAGTCGTCGACTTGTGCGTCGAGTCGTCGACTTGTGCGTCGAGTCGTCATAGGTGCAATACAGTGCGTCGACTCGTCTAAAAGTAAGGGGACTAATGCGCTGAACAATGTTGTCGTGCTGCGATTCGGTGCATCGAATGCCTAAAACGACTCATAGAATCCACGAAACACAATGGTGAGGTGCCAAAACCACGACTCGATATTTTTGTCTAGGATCTAACTTCATAATTTCACCTACTGATACGATTTTACCGCAAACTTAGGATTGTGTAGACAAACTCAAGATTTACGGCTATCTTGAAAACATGGAATGTTGGTATGTTGGAATGTGAACAGAAGAAATTTAGCCATTGCATGGCAGTACCTTTCTGTACGATAAGTTCTCATATCGATAAACTCAAATTAAATACAAATATACTTGTTAGCATGTAATTATAATTGTTTTAAAAAACACATTCCAACATTGCAGCATTCCAACATTGCAGCATTCCATGTTGTCAAGATAGCCGAAGATTTACCGACGAATTCATGCAGTATTGGCGCTAGCTACGCCCCTGTTAACAGCAACTGAGGCAAAGAATAAATCAACAAGACAAGGGGAAACCCTGTTTGTTAATTGAACATAAAAGTAGCCAAAAGGTGTAATGATAGCGAAAACGCACGGGATAAGTAGATTGTGATCAATTTGTCATTCTTCTTCTCAATGCCAAGATTCTAATTTATCTAGCATGCCACTAACCCTCGTCTTTCAACTTTCAGTAAAATATTCCGAAAAATGATGTAAACTCCTACAACGAAAAGGATTTGAAAATTATTGATACTGAATAGTATTGATATTTGATATCATTGATATTGACTATGCTTTTTGGCCATGTGTTTTTTCTCGTGTTACAGAAACTATCGGTGTGACAGTAAATCATCTTGGCAACCAAATCTTTGATAACGGCGTTGACGTCACATCGAATGACAACATACATTTTTGTGTTAATGCATTTTTCATTCTTTTCCTCAGTTCACTCTAGTTTACGAAAGTTTAATATTGTATAATTGTTAGCACCATTAGCATTGGGATCTTGATGACGTGAAGTCTTCTCCCGCCGTGAACGGTGCAGGTTATTGTATTATTCTGGTTTTAATTGAATAAAGAGCCAATTCTAGATGCAAGAGTGTCTCCTCCTTTATTTTTGCAAAACATTCGAGCTCTTCGAGCGTTTGATTAAAAAGCAGAACGGTCAAAACTGTAAATGCAATGAAGTCCATACCCTTCATGTCGACAACGAATTTCTCTAATCTATGCAAGCATATCTTTGTCTAAAATTAAACAAAACATCCTATAACACGCCACAAAAAGCAAAATAAATATGAACTGCCAAGGTTTACCGGTAACCACAAACCACACATCATAACAAAATATAAACTGACAATCAAGCATTAAAAGGTCCATGCATCAGCAATTTAAAATCTTTCATTCAAGAAGACGACGAAGCAAACTTGCATAAATTTAAAGAGACCTTTGACGTCATGTAATATAGCTGCTATAAGTGTTTTAATATCGTTTTCTTGCTTCCAAGCTGTCAAAGGTAGGTTTTAGGACAACAAAAAGCTATGCTCAAGATATGACCATACTTCGTGATTCCAGCGCTTTTACTCTAATATCTCTAATTTAAGGTTACGGTAAACGTTTTCTGGATGAAAACATCATTTTTTCGATTTTTTCACATTCAAGTAGCCGAACTTTCAAGGCACACAATGATACCAAATTTGGAACAAACAGAAATTTTGAAAGTGGAAAAAATCCCATGTAAACGAAGGTTTCCATAATTTCTTTATCAAAACTTTTAGTTGAGGCCTGAAAATCTCTTGACCTTTTTAGCCGATTATCGTTGCTTTGCGGTTTTGGTCGCATGTCTCATTTACAATATCGCATGGCACATCCATATATCCAATGTACGGCCGTGTTTATTTAAGCAGGCTTATTGATCTTAAATCTTCAAGTGACTTGACCCGGATTACACTGTGGTTTACGAGTGTATCTTGCAAGTGCGATCAGTAAAATCCCGTTTCCTCCGGACTCGAAATTCCTCTACATGCAGGTACGAAAAAGCTATTATGTACCCAAGGAACCAATCGAATGGCTCGAAAATTTGCACACGGCCAGGGCAGACGTTGGGCAAACAAAGTGTGTCTCAAAATTTTTTAATTTTCTCTGGTCCGTCTTTTATACCCAAATACAGCTGCGGGAGGGTGGAAAAATTATTTGCCAATTTTTGACAGGGTATAGTTTAAAGAAGAGGAGGAATTTAAAAAATCTGAGACACACTTTGGTAGCATAGGACCGGCACTTCCTGCTGGTCTAAGTCAGATTTTGTTACCTCAAACGCAAGGGTACATAATAGCTTTTGAAGGTGGTACACTTTTTGACCAGTAAATTCGCATGGAAAATAACATTTAACATTATTTGCCAATAATTTTTATCTGGCTAGATACGCCATAATCTTGTGCATCGAATGATATATAGTTTATCCAGATTCCTTAAGCCGTTTGGCCTTTAGGAAGGAAAAACCAATTTTCGTGTTCAAAACGTTTACCGTAACCTTAAGGGGGAAGGTAATAGAATGGGGGTGTTCATGTCGACGAGTTTTCAATAGAAGGGGTGCTAATAGAGGGGGCTGTTCATGTCGGCAATCCTTTTTTGAAATCGAAGTACGTTTTAGAATATACTCAAAATTTGGTTTTACGTCAAAGTACGTCAAAATTTGGTTTTATCTTTGTATGATTGCAGTTTTAGAGAAAATTGCAAGGGAATTCTTTTGAAATTAATTCACGGGGGGCCCGTCAATTGGAGACACTAAAGTAATGAGGGACAGCTGGCAACTCTCCTCACTTTTAGTGAAGTTTTGTTCATGCCAGTGTCTAAAACGACAGACCCTCAATAAAATTCCAGTACAAATGAATGGGTTTACATTTCACATGGTTAATTTATCTTTGTGCTGTACATAAATGAGATTTGATCAAGCTGGCGTAGCAACTGGTCTCCCAATTAGAAATCTATGGACAATACTATTCTCAGCATGTCCCTCATTTGCCTTGCTGCCCTTCTTGCTGCTACGATGGCTGAGTGGCGCACTTTTAAAAAGCTTCATTTCAGATAATTTTTCAAACACATTATTTTGTTTTCAAGCAAACGGTAAGCTAAAACCCGTAAAAAAGTTGCGTTTTCGTTTGAAATCGTGTTTGTCTAGACCGAACCAATGCTGCCACCGGGCATTTTAACAATTTACAACTTAGTTACAGCCTCGTGCAATTATTAAAATATCAATACCAATTAGATTTCAAAGGAATCGACTTAATAAAAATATGAATTATTACAGCAGGTTGTATTATATGCCATTTAGTAAAGTAAAGGTCGAAAACAAGGTATTCCGTTATTCTGTCTGTCTTGAAAAACAAAAATCCCTATCAAGTAGGGCAGAGCCATAACAAAATAGCATTTCGAATTTAAATGACTTTGAAGGGGATAGGTAGTATGGAGTCCGAGACATGCAAAAGATGTACTAAAAGAATTAAATCCTTTTAACTAATTTAGAGACACAAGATCTGAGGTGCCTTCGCGAGAATGCGATTTTGCTCGATTTAAACCAATCAGCTTAGAACAATTTTGTCTGAACCAATTATATAACAGAACAACCGAAAATCAATAATGGGGTACTGCTTTTAAAAGTTTTGAGCCAAAAAACATTAGACGTTTGTAATTATATCAAAGTCCTCGTAAATCAAGTCCACAGAAGTCATGGTCTTCATTGCATATTGTTTTATAATAGAACTCAGTAAAAAATGCATTACCAACAAGGTCTATAGTTTTCAATCAGTGGCGTAGCGTGAGTTGCAGAAGCGGGTATGCGGCGAGGGGTCTGGGGCTTGCTGAAGGCCCCAGTGGAGCCAAGATGCAACGCCCTCAGAGATTTAGCTTTTTAAAAACACCTGATAGTTAAAATAGCGCCTTCTCTATAATCCTATCATGCCCAAACAGAACATCTACAGCACACTTCGAAATGAAAATTATAGACCACTTTTTCATACTTTTATAAGGATTTTTGATAGGTCACAATTAGAAAATAAAAGATTTGGTCAAAAGATATCCCCCTAAACCCCTATGTTCAAATGAATTACCCCGTACTATCCCCATTTGAGTATCCTCCCTATTTGGGTACCCTCACTAATTGAGTACCCTCACTCGGTGGGACTCGAGCTAAAATGAAAAAAGCATTTGTGCAATCATCTTATACTCCTCTATCTCTATAACCCTATAATCCATATCTTCTACTTGTTTGAATCCACATTTCGAAGACTTATGCTGTGATTCAATTCAACTATGGCATGCGGATCGAAAAGCGCATGCCCTGGCTCTTTGTTGATCAGTATCTGGTCACGTGACTTGGCTTGCTGAACAAGAGAACACGAAGCAAGCTGAGATCAGTTGCTTCCCTTTCAAAGCTCTATCCTCAACGCTGTAAGTAAAACATTAGAGCAATCTTTCATTAGCATGATAGATTAGTCATTGATACAACCTTCTATCCAATAATTTTGCAAAATTTTACACTTAAAGAGGGAAAAATCAATCGATTTATATCGGGGAATGCGGTCAGAATTCCGCATTCCCGGAAATGAGAACTGCTGTAAACAAAGGTTGCTAGCCAAAGTCAACAAAAGGATCTTTAGAAGCAGGAGCACGAAGCTTAGTAAATTACTTCCAAGGTAAAAGCTAAGGATCCATTGAGCTCCGATGGGTGTATCAAGGGTACGACAGTGCAAATTTCAATTAATCGTCAAAGCAACTGTTTAAGCGATAAAAACTATTTTCTGTTTCGAAAAAGGCGTTTTTAGGAATATTTTTGGTCAGATTTTGCAGGGCATGCGGCGCATTACCAGCTTCCCTTGACACTACGCCACTGTTTTCAATGATGGCGGCCGCAGTGTATTTTGCTTCTGTGATATTCGTTCCATTCAAAATATAAGAATCCTTTGCAAGTGCAAATTCAGTCTGCTTCTTTTTCTTCGGTAAAGAGGCAAAGAATTTGCAAAACTAAAAATATGTGCATCTCTGTGGGTCCAAAACAAGAAAAGGGAATTCATTTAGGCCCACGCATGTTGGTCTACAATTGTTATTACTTTTTGCTGGGGATGTCGAGAAGTGTTTAGGCCCATGCAAGAAATGTATAACATGTGAAAAGTCGATGAAAAAGACTCAAAGTGCAAAGTTCAAGTTTGATCGTTTTGTTGACCAAACTGAATATGGATGCGACAGAATTTATTGCCGTTAGTGCGGGACAGATAACAAATACATCCAGATATTCATATGACAGAAAATATTAACACCGATATCGTTTTTACAATCCAGAGGACTGAAATTATTCGATTAAAATTAAAAAAGGTCTTGCAAAGAAAATCGTGGGCATTGTTACTTCAAAAAACGAAACATAACATCAACATTTTTGGATTACCGAGACCCACTAGCAAAGGATATCAGGAATGAAGAGAGCAAGATTGGAGGCAATACATTCCTAAGAAACGATAGAAAATATTGTCAGTTATGTATGTTAATGGACGTTAATAGCATGCAGCAAGCAGGAACAAAGCAGAACATTGAAGAAGAAAGCAAAACAACTAGAAGTAATTATGCTGATAAATGTTAATTCATATATCATCTATGTTTTAATGATTTTGCTTGGTGTACATTTTTTCCAAACTTCACATTTTATGATTTCCACAGTTTGAACGTGAATCCGTTGACTTGGGTACTTTAAATACAGCAGCAAGAGGTTTAGAAAATCAAGTAACCTTCACAATCAAGAATCAAGCTTTTTCAAATCACAGTATGCTTCAAATAAGCGAAAAAAAGGACAACTATAAACCTAATGTGAATGAGAGTCGAACTTGAAGCAAAAGAATTGCAAAAAAGCATTGGCTCTCTCTAAAAAAGAGGTCGCGGTTTTGAAAAACTCATGCTTCACAGGTTTGAAAAATGAATTGTGCACAATAGTACACTAAAAGCAATGAAGAAGCTACAAATTATAGAGTAAGTTTGGAACAATCTGTCCATCCATTAGTATAAATTTTTCATAAATAGGGCCATCAAGCTCGACTCTTCAGCAATGTTTACTGTGGCAAACACTACCTCACAGTATAAGAGAGTCCCAATCATTGGCAACATTTAAAAAAGAATTAAGAGCACACCCTATAGAATGCGACAGTAGATTGTGTAAAAAATTTATTGCTGGGTTAGGTTTTATTTAGAACATTATACCTTAAACCTTTTTAATATTGTATCATATATTTTTATTTCATACTAACTCTTTATAGATAGTTGGCCTTAATTAGCTTCTTTATAGCTATCAGCCGTTCATTTAGTACGCAAACTTTAAACAAATTATTTATTAATATTATTATTATATTTATGATTTTGCAAGTCAGATTGATTCATAACAAGGCGATGTAATAAAAAGATAGACCACATATTCATTGTGCATAAATCAATACCTGCTGCTATTTTGTAAGAAGAAAATAGCCACTTAATTGCTTTTTCTCAAGTGAAGCACCGTATAGAAAGGATGGTGTCATCGAAGCTGGGCGGAAAATTTCGTAGCTGCTGACATTTTAAAGAAAATGAGCTTGTTTGCTGTTATACAGTAAGTGAATAGTTTTGGCCAAAACTTTCTTTTGTAGGAAACTAAAAACTGGGGCAAACATTTATTATGTTTACGTGCAGGCGCGGCAAACGTCATACTGCTTTTGTAAAAAAATGTTATATTAATTGCCAACTTAGCTACGTCAATTGGTTACCATTTAAAACTCCGCTGATTCATACTGTATTGCGTTGTTTGGTATTTTCCTTTTAATCTACTGTCTTATCTTGTCCAGCATTTTTGTTCTTTGTGTTTTCAAAGGACGTGTATGAGGAAACTCGGTATTACAAAATGCAGTTGCAGAACCGTTTTTAAAGAAAAGCAGCACAAGTGTTGTTAATATCTAAACAAGGCCGCACTAATTTTAAAGAGGTAATTTACACAAAAGCAGACGTCTTAGTCGCCTTTCATTATTTATTGAAACTCTTAGTTTCTTTGCTGAAAATGTCATATTGCTTGTTGGATTGGTCAGGGAATTTTAGTTCCACAGCATACAGCCATAAGTGCAGCCTACAAGCTTGTTTGTCGGGGCAAAAAAATAAACAAAAGCTTTTATTTTCATACAATACAACTGGCATTTTGGAAGTTTTATGTATCTAATCACCATTTTCTATTTATGCAAATCAATTTTTCAATACCTTGATATATTTCAGCATTAACCTTTAGGTAATTTAACAATATTTTTTAAAGCTGCTTTTTTAGCATTTTTGTTAAGAAGCATTTACCAAAGTATTGATAAAGAATGCCTTAGACTTCAAAGTCGAAATATGACGTAATAAGGTCATAAAAAGCTGATACCAAGAGAAAATTCTCCTTGAGTTGTTTCATATATATATCTACACATGGAAATCTACATTTTGATCAAAGAGGTAAGCATTGGCCTAATTAGAATTATCCAATGAATTAGCATAATACATCAGCATACAAAAGAATTATGCAATTAACAAGATACGATATTAAATGTAGTATGATAGGATAGTAGGAGTAGTAAGATACGATAGTAGGAGTAGCAAGGTACGATAGTAGGAGTAGTAAGATACGATAGTAGGAGTAGTAAGATGCGATAGTAGGAGTAGTAAGATACGATAGTAGGAGTAGTAAGATACGATAGTAGGAGTAGTAAGGTACGATAGGTACGATAGTAATAGTAAGATACGATAGTAGAAATAGAAAGATACGATAGTAGAAGTAGTAAGATACGATAGTAGGAAAGTAAGATACGATAGTAGAAGTAGTAAGGTACGATAGTAGGAATAGTAAGATACGATAGTAGGGAAAGTAAGATACGATAGTAGAAGTAGTAAGATACGATAGTAGGAGTAGTAAGATACGATAGTAGGGAAAGTAAGAGACGATAGTAGAAATAGAAAGATACGATAGTAGAAGTAGTAAGATACGATAGTAGGAATAGTAAGATACGATAGTAGAAATAGAAAGATACGATAGTAGAAGTAGTAAGATACGATAGTAGGAGTAGTAAGATACGATAGTAGGGAAAGTAAGAGACGATAGTAGGAGTAGTAAGATACGATAGTAGGAGTAGTAAGATACGATAGTAGGGAAAGTAAGAGACGATAGTAGGAGTAGTAAGATACGATAGTAGGAGTAGTAAGATACGATAGTAGGGAAAGTAAGAGACGATAGTAGGAGTAGTAAGATACGATAGTAGGAGTAGTAAGATACGATAGTAGGAGTAGTAAGATACGATAGTAGGAGTAGTAAGATACGATAGTAGGAGTAGTAAGATACGATAGTAGGAGTAGTAAGAGACGATAGTAGGAGTAGTAAGATACGATAGAAGGAGTAGTGCAATACAATAGTGGGAACAGTAAGATACAATAGTAGGAGTAGCGTGACAAGAGTTGTAAGAGTAGAGTAATCAACCTAGTCGTTAGACAAAGCAAGCTACCGCTTTACCTTCTTTTAAAGGGTTTTTATAAATTGAGTATGCATTGTTGTTGATAAATTTTGTTGATTATAGTTATTTTCATATTTTAATGTGAGGTTAAATAGATTGTTTGTAATGTTGGAAGTTTTTGGCAAGGCAAAAAGAACTTTAAAATGAAATTAAAATTGAAATATGCTGATGCACTAAATATAGATGGATATTTGAGGTATCATACTGAAAATATCTGCAAGGGAATGTGTGATATCATTGAGTCTGAATTCTGACATTGGTCACTGTAAGTGTGTAGCATTCCTCCGTCTGTTTGCTTCCTCGCGGCAGCTTGTTATTTCACGTTAATTATCATTTGCTTTATAAGTTGCTATAGTTATAACAGGTGCTCATGCGACTAAAGATATTTTGCTTCAAAATGATTGAAAATGACTAAACTGTTGTCATTTTGTGGTGAGCAGGTCTTCACAGAATATAAATTACATATTCTGACAACTGAATGGATAAATATGTTCATGTATTAAAGGTATCTGTGACACTAAAGTCGCTTTGACAATTGAGAGACGCAACACTATAAGAGAATTACTTGCATAATTATTACTGGAACCTGTCGCTTTCTATAGACGCCTTTTCTATGAAGTAAGTGTTCTTGAAAAAGCTACCTACAGGTTAGAGTCAAAGACTGATAGCGCAATTGGTTGTCATTTGACAAAAACAAGATGCCGAGCAAAGATCCATGTCTTATCTTACAACACGTTTTATATAAACTTGGATGTATCTTCCCATATACCTTAGGTCGTTATCCGAAGTTTTGAAAATTATGTTGTGTCAGCGTAATTTCTATGTGCTACCTTTTTGTTAGTCAACTTCTTTATGCTAGATTTTGAGTTCACTAGCAAACATTCTATAAACGCGAACTTTCTACTTTCAAGTCAGAAAATATCATAAATCTACGCTTAGAATAATATCTTTTTCGTTGAGAAATTAGCTACCGGGGCAAGCCTTTGTTTATATAAAGAAAGGATAATAGCCTGTTTATGAAATAAAGGAATATCACAGAGACTGGAGGGGCAATTGCCCCCTAGTTAGTATGTGGAAAAGGCCCTTTGCGATGATGATTAGAGAAGTTACGCAAAAAATATTCCCATCCTAACGTTTGCAACTTTTGCCACTCTTTTCAGTTGATTTAAATAATTTCTACCCTTTTTTAGGTATTTCATAGCGATTTTATTTATTGGAAGTGTGCAAAAAAATGATTGTACCTCAATTGTGATACATTTGCTGAGTTCCGCATTATCATTGGAAAACGGTTAGCAGGACATGTCAAGAAAACTAGAATTAAGCTTTCCTATACTCTTCATTCTGTATTATTATGAGATTGGGAAAGAATACCTTGGAGAGTTTGTTAGCTTGCGTGCAGACTTCACGCAGGCTGGAGTTTGTTTGATAATACTGGCATGTCGATTGTATGGAACCATCATTTTGTAAATAATAGTAAGAAGCTAATGGAAGTAGACGAGACTAAGTAGGCAGTGTGTCGCGCTGTTCATTTTGTTGAATTTCGAGGGTCCTCGAAATTAGAGAAGCGTGACGAATGAGAACAACTCATCCTTTGTTACGAAATGAAAACTCACTGAAATAGAAATCTTATTCTTTGTTGATATTCCTACATCGAACTGCGCGACGTACTGCCTTTAAAGGACCAATTCCTGAAACAATGGAATAGCAAAATGCAGGAGTCGAATAAAGGGAAAATGTATTTGTGTATGAAGAAAAATTTTGAAAGTAAAAAATCGTGACCTTCTTCCTTCAAATCTATTACAATACCTAGTCTGGTTTAAAACAGCAAACCATAAATTGGTAGTAGAAACAGGCAGATGAAGCAAAATAAATTATGATCAGAGAATATGTAATATGTGTTCATCCAACGAAATCGGAGACGAGTTCCACACACTCTTGAAATGCTCTACTTTTCGCATATAAGAAATTATTATATTTCTAGCTATTTTGTTAAATACCCGTCTAATATTGCAAGACTTTTAAGCGAAATTTTTAGATACCAAAAACCGATTTAGCCTCCAGTAAAGCAGACTAAGTTCTTTGTTGTAGTTGTTGCTTTTCTTTCCTTGTTTGTTTTGACCAAGTTTACATAACATAAGCATGATGATGATGATGATGAAGACTATTACGATGATGATAATGATGACGATGATGACGATGATGACGATGATGGTAATGATGATTATGATGATGATGATGATGATGATGATGATTATGACAATGATGACGATGATGACGATGATGACGATGATGGTAATGATGATGATGATGATGGTAATGATGATGATGATGATGATGCTGATTGATGATAATGATTGATGATGATGATGATGATGATGATGATGATGATGATGATGATGATGATGATGATGATGATGATGATGATGATGATGATGATGATGATGATGATGATGATGATGATGATGATGATGATGATGATGATGATGATGATGATGATGATGATGATGATGATGATGATGATGATGATGATGATGATGATGATGATGATGATGATGATGATGATGATGATGATGATGATGATGATGATGATGATGATGATGATGATGATGATGATGATGATGATGATGATGATGATGATGATGATGATGATGATGACGATGATGATGATGATGACGATGATGATGATGATGATGATGATGATGATGATGATGATGATGATGATGATGATGATGATGATGATGATGATGATGATGATGATGATGATGATGATGATGATGATGATGATGATGATTGATGATGATGATGATGATGATGATGATGATGATGATGATGATGATGATGACGATGATGATGATGATGATGATGATGATGATAATGATGATGATGATGATGATGGTAATGATGATGATGATGGTGATGATTATGATGATGATGGTGATGATATAATAACAATGAGAAAGACTTCGTAGAAAAACATTACATAACTACATTAAAAACAATCCACAGGTGCAAAAATGGCTATATTCATCTTTCAATCAACAATTGGCCAATCAGTGAGCGTGATACACTCACACGCTTGCCGATTGGCTAAAATTGATTGACATATGGCTTAAGTCACTTTTATACCTGCCAACTGCCTTCAAACAACAGAAGTTGGTATTTAGAATTTCGAGATGATTAATTGCAATTTTGTAAGGTGTTTTGAGCCTTTCGCATATTTTTTCTTTTATCTAAAATTGCACCTTGTCTGGATGATATGTAAATAGCAATGAAGTATCATATGATATAACAACTCAAGCAGGCAGGATTTAGCAAAGATAGGGTTTTTTGTTGCTTTCTGTATCTTAAATTAACAGCAATAAAAATATTTTGATAACTAATATTTCATTCTCACAGACTTTGCTTCGCAATCACAATTGCCGTTTATACAAATGCGACAATATTGCGCCTTCCTTGTGACATATTTGCTGAGTTTCGCATCTTCAGTATTGGGAAACGACTAACAGGTCACGTGTTAAGAACAGACAAAGGATTGGAAGATGGGCAGTGCATGATGAAATGTGTAGAGCACCGAAAATGTCGCTCTTACAACTGGAATGTTGAGGAAAAGCTTTGTGAACTGAACAGTAAAGCACACGCTGACAATGGCACAGTGCTTGCTGACGAAACAGATTGGATCTATAAGTCAACTGACTATGATAATCTGCTGGTGAGTAAACACGATTTTTCATAAGGAACCATTTAACAAGGATTATTAAAGAACCTACATGTAGAAGGCCAAAAATAATTAAAGCACAGTTGATATAAAAAGACAGAATCTTTGAGGAGTTTTACATTTTGAATATTTTTGTCATTGCAAAGAGTCAAGAATAAGGGAGCCAGTTCCATTCCATTGGAGTCATGTGTAATGGATATGGTTATCGAGTGTTTCATTGTGTAATTTAAAATGTTTTATTTTCCTTCATGATTGAATTTCCTCTTTTCTATACATCAAACGTCTTTCTAGTCTTCGTTCAGTTTTCAGCTAATTTGTAGTCAAGAATCCAACGACACTAATACAGATTTTCAATGTCCTATGCGTAATTTTCATGGCACAAAATGTGGAGTTAATTTAAAGAAATATCATATAACTTTTAGTAGTACAACTAGCTCCCCTACGAAGGGCTTGCCAGTGGCCTTATGGCAGGGTACATAGATTCAAGAAAACCTCAGAAAAGACAAGAGGTGTATTTACCTAGATTTGAAAAAATTGGCTCCGCATAGGTCACGTGATAAAAAATCGCATTGAAATCGCACTCCTTGGACTATCGCTAGGAAGGGGGGGGGGGCCTATTCGATAAAAAGAGGTGAAAATAAAAATAAGGAACTTCAAGAACTAGGCCACGAGCATTCTTCATATAAACAATGTGAATAGACGTGCTATATGTCACTTAATACGAATCAAAGGGACATGTTTAATGGACGGCTTGTCGCTAAAAAGAGCAGAGTAGTGACTTTTTACATGGAGTAAATAAATGAACAATTATGTTTGCAATGAATCAATATCTAAGTAAGAATATACTTATCTGGAAGATTGAAACAAATATAATATTGCAAAGCAAAATACACAAAACCATATTTATGAAAATATAAATTGGATAAAATATTCTGGTTAAAGGTTGGTGCAACATGCAAGAAACTGAACCCCTGCGAAGCTGGAGTTCTTTGCAAAGATAAATGCGAGCCCCCTTTCTACGAATGCATTATGAATTGCAGCGAGGATGAATCTGGATCACATTGCAAAGCCAGACCAAACGGTTGGTATCAAAATCGTGAACGATTCTTTGTTTTTAATAAAACACAAGAAGGACCAAGGTTCCAAGATAAAATACTGATTTTTTTCTGCTCAAGCCATAGAAGTCCTGTTTTGAAATCTAAGAGAATTATAAAACAGATAATTGAACGTCACCTTGACACCATTTAATGTGATATTTAGGTGAACCGAGAACTGGACGGATTTCGTATTGTATCACATATAGATAAATAATCACATTGCTATTTATTTCCAAGCATAAAACTTGGGTTAAACGAAGAATTAAATAAAAATCCACTTGTGACTGCCGAAACAAATCTTTTAAATGGCAGGAAACTGTTATAATCAATCAATTGTCACGTTATCGGAACATTTGTTAATTATAAATTTATGTTATGTAATTTCTCACAATCTAGATGGGAATAACTGCAACACTAATCCGTGTGCGAACTCAGGAACATGCATTGTCGTGTCCCAAAGTTACAAATGCCAATGTACTAATGGCTATACGGGAAAGCACTGCGAAACTGGTAAATCAATTTTTGTACTAAAAATAACAAAAATGAATTATGGGCTGTATGTAGGGCTCCAAGGAGACGAGGGAACAGTGGGAGAAGCAGATCAAAAAAGGGGAGGGAGGAGGGAGAGCAGAAATGAGAGAAGATGAGAAAGGGGAGGTGAGGCAGGGGATGAGGGGGGAATAGGTTTAAGGCAAACATAACTTATCTGTTGATCGTAACAACCTAACTACGTATATGCTAGTTGACACCAAATGCAATTTTATGATGTCATCATTTTGTGCTCGAGTTTTTAAGTAGAATATGATAAAAAACAGTCAAAGATTGCAATGAAAATTCTCCTCATACAAAGCTAATATATAAGCTGATCAAAGTGTTATCAAAGTTATTTCAATTGTCATTAGTTATCATTGAATTATCATCCTGTAAAAAAGATTTAATGAAAAACAATGAAGTCAAATTAGGGCTCTCTTAAACCCACCTTAAAGTGCATTTTTGTGTTTTGAGAATTTTGTGAATGGATAGTAGCTTTACCGGGGGTTTATGAAATATAATTGCATATTGTGTTCTCTTAAAGTATTATATTTTATATAACAATAAAGCATCAATGTAAAAATATTTGATTGTTAGTAGACTGCAATTTCCTCCAACATAAATCATTATTATAATCTTTATGCAGATATCAACGAGTGTTACAGCTTGCCTTGCTTTCATGGTGGGCAATGTGAAGATAATGTAGGAGGATTTTCTTGTCACTGCTTGCCTGGCTATACCGGAGTCAACTGCGAGACAAGTAAAATCGAAGCATTTCGATTAAATTGATTTTATTTTGGAGAAGCTTTTGCATACCATTTTATTATACACAGTGACGCATTCAGCACATCTAGGGGGTGGAGGGAATAAAATTTCCAGAAAAAATCTTTTCCCTCAGAACCGAAAACTCCTGAAAATATTTTCTCCATAACACATTCCCATCATACACATTCCCATCAGAAAGCTCTCCACTCCAGGGTACAGCATATGATATACTGCACCAATCTAAAACAGACTTGTCAAGAATACTCTTTACTTTTTCTAGTAATCGTGAGAAATCAATTTTCTTTCAGCTAATGGATAAAACCAACAAAAATATAAACTTTTACATCCTACTAGCTTTGTCATGCCCAGTTATGTTAACCAAATCGTTGACATGATTTAAACTTGTCCTCTAATGAAAAAAATAGCCGCTCCTCCATTGCTTCTGGCTGAGGGTCATCTTAATCCAAAAGTGGCAAAGAAAACTGCCGTTTATAAAAAAGATCATGATTGTTTTGAAATCAAGAAATTTTCACGAAATTGAAGCTGTTTGAAATATTAAGATAAGGGCTGTAAAATTTACAATAGTAGCTAGAAGGAAATGTCAATCAATAAGAAATTGGATTTTCTACACAAAGAGAGTCTTCATGCCTTTTAATAAATGTTGTTTTTAAAATAGATGTCAATGAATGCAGTAGTTCCCCTTGTCAAAATGGAGGCCACTGTCAGGATGAAGTGAATGCATACATCTGTACATGCGCAGCAGGCTATCAAGGAGAAAATTGTCAAACAGGTTCACTAGTTTCATTATAATGAAAAATGGCTTTAAGAGTTAGAATGAGTATGAAACTTGTTGTAATCATTTGGATTTTGGTTCGCTAAGCAATTTCTTGCTGTGTCACCATTTCTGTTTCGGCCTATGAATACTTTTGCTCGCTGATTCTACATTTCGGCTACTATTGGATCTGGTAACAGGTCATGATTCTATATCGATCAGGTCCTTTGATGTTTGTTGGAAAGTTGGGGGGCCAAGAGCAAATTGAAGACCTCTTACTAAAGAAACTACAAGAACCCCCATTGTTTTGCAAAATATTGAGGGACATGAAGGACCTGTGGTAAACTTGTTGAACTAGAATTCACGATTAAGAATTAACGTTGAGATAGTCACATGATTTCTGGCCGACGTCAATGGGTATAGTATCGATTCTTGCGAAAACACAGGCAGCTACACGAAGACATCATTCAGTTCAATTGAATAATATGCATGTTACAATAGCAAATAATAGAAAATAAATTAAAATGCATCAAACACATAGAAGGCGTTTATGTTTATGATATTTGGACACAACCCATATGTGTAGCTCTTCCGTAAATGTATCTGTGAAATCCTAACAAGATTTCAGATATAAATTCCAATACTATTATTTTCAAGATTACAATGAATGCAGCAGCAGTCCCTGTCAGAGTGGGGGTACTTGCAATGATCATATCAACAGTTACAGCTGTACGTGTGCAGCGGGTTATCAAGGCATAAACTGCGAGACAAGTGAGTTCACTGTCTTAAGAATGCGAGAAAAATAAATACCATTAATCATAGAAAGAATTAACTTGAATTTATTTTAAGGTTATTCCTAAACCGAAAGATTTTTTTTTCATGAGGCCCTAAATGCTAAGATAGAATATTTTACTTGGATTTATATTTCGCTAGCCATCTTATGGTTCTATCGCGTTGATCGTTTTGAATCTGTTTAAAGTTTCCAGTAGTTTCTGCATTTCAAAGAATGCAAATGAAAGAGTAAGAAAGGCAAAATAATTATGAAAAATACTTTGATGGCATTTGTTTTCTCAATGATTTAATGTATGATAATGTAGGTTTTTGTCAAATCTAAAATGGCATTGAAATATTCAAAGAAAAGGAAAGCAACAGTTTGGGTACAATTTAATCTCGTTGCTTATCAAGCTCTAACATGAAACAGGTGCTCCTATGTTTAAAATCAATCCTTTAACCTAGGATTAAAATCATATGAGCTTAGCAGTAGCGTGTGTGCAAAGGCGGAGCTTTAATCGCTCAAAAAATGCAATAAGTGTCAACCCCATTGACTTGGAGTCGATGGATCGTGGACCTAAACTTTGATTATTCAGATATCTTTAAATCGTTTTGATACACCGCGAATCCTTTAAAAAATGTGCTTTGCCAATAAAAATCAATTTAGAACATTTAAAATCTTAAATTAACAACGATAATCTAACTCAAAACATCATTGTTTTTTCAAGATATTAACGAGTGCAGTAGCAGTCCTTGTCAGTACGGAGGAACATGCACAGATCAAGTCAATCAATACACTTGCAATTGTGCTCCTGGCTATACTGGAACCCATTGTGAAATAGGTTTGCTACTTTCTATAAAACGAAAAAAGGCTTTTGGAGTTAGTTTATGGCTATAATTGTCAATAACAATGCTAGGAAGTCAAATGAATAAAACGGATTCTTTTGCAAATATAGCCACTGTTTATAAACAACGCCTTTTGCATTATGTTGGTGTTACATTTGCAGGTTTAGTGAAAAGTTACTTTTTCATTTCTGTTCTTGATCATTAGAATTTTCCATGTTGTGATTGTATTGAATTGTTTGTAATGAATGTAAATTTTGAATTAGGGATGGCTTAGTGCACACCATTTTTTATCTACAGCGACTGAAGTACTAATTGTGATACTGTCTGTATTGCAATTTGCAAATAGCCTGCTAACGGCTGCAAATGAATCATTTTAATATTTGCGCCAAAAGTAATTCTCTTTCAATTTCTTAAGAAATAATGGAGTGTTCACTAGCATTTCGATTAAATTGATTTTATTTTGGAGAAGCTTTTGCATACCATTTTATTATACGCAGTGACGCATTCAGCACATCTAGGGGGTGGAGGGAATAAAATTTCCAGAAAAAATCTTTTCCCTCAGAACCGAAAACTCCTGAAAATATTTTCTCCATAACACATTCCCATCATACACATTCCCATCAGAAAGCTCTCCACTCCAGGGTACAGCATAGGATATACTGCACCAATCTAAAACAGACTTGTCAAGAATACTCTTTACTTTTTCTAGTAATCGTGAGAAATCAATTTTCTTTCAGCTAATGGATAAAACCAACAAAAATATAAACTTTTACATCCTACTAGCTTTGTCATGCCCAGTTATGTTAACCAAATCGTTGACATGATTTAAACTTGTCCTCTAATGAAAAAAATAGCCGCTCCTCCATTGCTTCTGGCTGAGGGTCATCTTAATCCAAAAGTGGCAAAGAAAACTGCCGTTTATATAAAAGATCATGATTGTTTTGAAATCAAGAAATTTTCACGAAATTGAAGCTGTTTGAAATATTAAGATAAGGGCTGTCAAAATTTACAAAAGTAGCTAGAAGGAAATGTCACTCAATAAGAAATTGGATTTTCTACACAAAGAGAGTCTTCATGCCTTTTAATAAATGTTGTTTTTAAAATAGATGTCAATGAATGCAGTAGTTCCCCTTGTCAAAATGGAGGCCACTGTCAGGATGAAGTGAATGCGTACATCTGTACATGCGCAGCAGGCTATCAAGGAGAAAATTGTCAAACAGGTTCACTAGTTTCATTATAATGAAAAATGGCTTTAAGAGTTAGAATGAGTATGAAACTTGTTGTAATCATTTGGATTTTGGTTCGCTAAGCAATTTCTTGCTGTGTCACCATTTCTGTTTCGGCCTATGAATACTTTTGCTCGCTGATTCTACATTTCGGCTACTATTGGATCTGGTAACAGGTCATGATTCTATATCGATCAGGTCCTCCGATGTTTGTTGGAAAGTTGGGGGGCCAAGAGCAAATTGAAGACCTCTTACTAAAGAAACTACAAGAACCCCCATTGTTTTGCAAAATATTGAGGGACATGAAGGACCTGTGGTAAACTTGTTGAACTAGAATTCACGATTAAGAATTAACGTTGAGATAGTCACATGATTTCTGGCCGACGTCAATGGGTATAGTATCGATTCTTGCGAAAACACAGGCAGCTACACGAAGACATCATTCAGTTCAATTGAATAATATGTATGTTACAATAGCAAATAATAGAAAATAAATTAAAATGCATCAAACACAAAGAAGGCGTTTATGTTTATGATATCTGGACACAACCCATACGTGTAGTTCTTCCGTAAATGTATCTGTGAAATCCTAACAAGATTTCAGATATAAATTCCAATACTATTATTTTCAAGATTACAATGAATGCAGCAGCAGTCCCTGTCAGAGTGGGGGTACTTGCAATGATCATATCAACAGTTACAGCTGTACGTGTGCAGCGGGTTATCAAGGCATAAACTGCGAGACAAGTGAGTTCACTGTCTTAAGAATGCGAGAAAAATAAATACCATTAATCATAGAAAGAATTAACTTGAATTTATTTTAAGGTTATTCCTAAACCGAAAGATTTTTTTTTCATGAGGCCCTAAATGCTAAGATAGAATATTTTACTTGGATTTATATTCCGCTAGCCATCTTATGGTTCTATCGCGTTGCTCCTGATCGTTTTGAATCTGTTTAAAGTTTCCAGTAGTTTCTGCATTTCAAAGAATGCAAATGAGAGAGTAAGAAAGGCAAAATAATTATGAAAAATACTTTTATGGCATTTGTTTTCTCAATGATTGAATGTATGATAATGTAAGTTTTTGTCAAATCTAAAATGGCAGTGAAATATTCAAAGAAAAGGAAAGCAACAGTTTGGGTACAATTTAATCTCGTTGCTTATCAAGCTCTAACATGAAACAGGTGCTCCTATGTTTTAAATCAATCCTTTAACCTAGGATTAAAATCATATGAGCTTAGTAGTAGCGTGTGTGCAAAGGCGGAGCTTTAATCGCTCAAAAAATGCAATAAGTGTCAACCCCATTGACTTGGAGTCGATGGATCATGGACCTAAACTTTGATTATTCAGATATCTTTAAATCGTTTTGATACACCGCGAATCCTTTAAAAAATGTGCTTTGCCAATAAAAATCAATTTAGAACATTTAAAATCTTAAATTAACAACGATAATCTAACTCAAAACATCATTGTTGTTTCAAGATATTAACGAGTGCAGCAGCAGTCCTTGTCAGCACGGAGGAACATGCACAGATCAAGTCAATCAATACACTTGCAATTGTGCTCCTGGCTATACTGGAACCCATTGTGAAATAGGTTTGCTACTTTCTATAAAACGAAAAAATGCTTTTGGAGTTAGTATATGGCTATAATTGTCAATAACAATGCTAGGAAGTCAAATGAATAAAACGGATTCTTTTGCAAATATAGCCACTGTTTATAAACAACGCCTTTTGCATTATGTTGGTGTTACATTTGCAGGTTTAGTGAAAAGTTACTTTTTCATTTCTGTTCTTGATCATTAGAATTTTCCTTGTTATGATTGTATTGAATTGTTTGTAATGAATGTAAATTTTGAATTAGGGATGGCTTAGTGCACACCATTTTTTATCTACAGCGACTGAAGTACTAATTGTGATACTGTCTGTATTGCAATTTACAAATAGCCTGCTAAAGGCTGCAAATGAATCATTTTAATATTTGCGCCAAAAGTAATTCTCTTTCAATTTCTTAAGAAATAATGGAGTGTTCAAGCAATCCCTGCTCTGCTCCACGACAGTGCATTGACGAAATAGGCAGACACGCGTGTGTGCGAAGTGAGTACCGTTTTTCTACTATCAAACGCAGCATATATCTATGTTACACAGGGCCTCCGACGAAGGGGGGGCCGGGGGGCCTTGGTCCCCCCTCTTTTTTGCAAAACAATAGAGTTTTTTCAAAATCTTTTGTTATGGGTGTTAAATTTTCCCTTGCCCCCCCCCACATTTAAACCTTTGTCGGAGCCCATGTTACACTTTATCTGAAAAGAAAAAAAGGAAGAAGGAAGATTTACCATAAGGTTCATTACTTAAGTCAAAGCTGTCAGGCTGTCAGGTTTATTATTTATTTTTAGGTGAATATAATCTATTTTTGGTTTGTAGGTATGAAACTAACTTTGGAATTCGTCTTAACCTAATGAAATTATGCAAAAGCAACTGTACACCCTAAGCTTATACAGATCCTAATGCTAACAGTTCATTTCAGATGTAGCCTACGGAAAGCAATCGAAGCAGTCTTCCGATATGCATTCATATACCTCTGCTGATAAGGCTGTAGATGGAAATAGGAACTCTAACCTTGATAGTAGATTTTGTGCATCGACAACCGATTCAGATCAACCTTGGTGGGAGGTTGATCTTGGGCAGTCATTTCTAATTGCTGGAATTCAGATCACTAACCGAGATACACATTTGGAAAGGCTAAGGGACTTTGACGTGTTCGTAGACTCAAATTTGTAAGTAGCGATTGCTTATCTAAATTCTACACTTAAAGGAAGGGCATCGAGAGCTAGTTAGGCTGCCGAGCTTAAAAGTAAGATATAAATGGAAAAGCAGTAATCCCCTCGCCTTGATGCCCTGAAATAGGAAAGTGGCAGATTGCTTCAGATAAGATCCACTCAACTGGAAGGTTAACCAATTAGGTTTAATATTGATATTTTATGTCCCTGGACAAAATTGCAAGAATGACTTTTGCAAGGGCCAAATTTTTCCAAAAAAAATAGTCTTGAATCCAAAAATTATGTATACTGTAGATGTGCTATTTTACTTTGTATAAATCGATAAATTGTCACATAGTTAATAAATTTGTCAAGTAACAACATTCATGAGGTGAATAAAGAAAATTAAAATTTGCAAAAAAATACGTCTGACTTTTCATAGTATAACGTTGTTATTCAAATTTAACCGACACAGAACTACAACTATTAATGAAAATGTTTAAATCTATTTCAAATAAGGTTGAATGAGACCTATCCAAGCTAAAGTTTTATTTATTCATCCCAGGTGTTTCCATTTTGCAAATTCATTTGGAAGTGGAACATCTTACTTCCCTTGTAAATCCTTTGTCAAAGGACAAAAGGTGAAGGTCAAATTGAAGGGACATAATGTTTTAACACTTTGCGAGGTCGATGTAATTGCCTCTAAAGAAGGTTTGATATTATTCTTAATTTTTGTAAAAACTAATCTCACTCCTAGTTGAAAAGTTGAAAAAGAGAAAACAAATATATTTTGTATACACAAGTCCAGGACCACCAGTGCCAGGAGGGGCATGGGGGCATGGGGGCAATTGACCCCTATTTGAAAAGGTGTCATTTGTAAAATATATTGCGTGAATTTCTCTCACTGCAAAATATTCTGATTTTAGAAGCTGAATAAAATATCCTTAATCTAGGCGTTGTTGAAGAACTATTCACTGAAATTTCCTTTAATATCTACTTGGTCACAATGCAAAAAGCGCAAGCTCCAGTCACAAACAAAATCAACTACTAAAGAGACTGTCAGTTAGGCGAAAGAAATTGCTTTAGCATGTCTTTAGCCATAGATACAGGCTTATATTTTTTGCCAGGGGGGAGAAGGGGGGGGCTAAAAAATTAATTGCAATTGCTAATGGTGGCTGCCAACAGCACAGGGTAGAAAGAGGCCTAGTTGAGGGTTCTAAGGCGATTTTCTTTACATGTTTCATCATCTCTGTTATTTGATCTTGATTAAATCTTTTGAGATTATTTTTTTCGTGAAACCAAGAATATAAAAAATTAGTCTAAAAAATCGAAAGCCAGCTTTATTATTTCCGAGGGGGGCTGACCCCCCAATATGTCGTCAGGGGGGCTCAAGCCCTGGACCCCTCTTTGTCTTTTGCAACAAACGCATTATTGAAAGGTTGGCAAAAAACTTCCTTCGTTTATCGATGATCAAAGGAGGACTAAACAAACCACTGCATGATTATTTCGATTCACAAAGAAAAGACTGATAAAATAAATCTAATCAATAGCTTTTCTATGGCAAGGAAGAAGGTGGCAAGTTATAAGAAAAATAAGTACAACTTATTGTAAAAGAAATATGAATCATACATGTACGGAAGATTTACACCCTCAAAACTTCAAAGCCCATGAGGCGAGGAGCTATTCAATTAAATATGATCTATTCAATAAGTATGAGTGCGTGATCCCTAAATAGAGAATATAGCCGTGATTGCTTTCGATGAAAATAGTTCTCACCACATGCAATGTGTTTCATTCTTAAATGTCTTAATTACCATGAAAAGTGTGTCAATTTTGGCATTTATTAATGTTTTGGAAAATAGGTCTTTGTTCCTTTTTTGTTCGTTTTACCCCCCCCCCCCCTTGCTCAAACCAGCGTCCGGCGGCCCTGAAGTCGAGTTTCTTTTTTGATGTTGACAAATTCCAAATTAAGTAAAAAAATGCAAGACTAATGCGACATTGTTAAAAAGCGACATTGTTAAAAAAATTTGCATGGGAATTGAAATACATTCAAAGGCATTATTGTAGGACATGCGCAGTAGTAGGTTTTCATTGCGATTGGTTTCAAATTGGCTACCTATGTGAACATAGTGCAAAAATGTTTTTTATGCGCGCGCATGCTGACGTGATTTGCCTGCCCGCGAAAATTGTGTCGTTCTGTCCCGGATGCAAATGATATAAAAATATATGAGAAAACAAACTTGGAATTTTAACCTTACCTCTGCTTTATTTTTATGGAGTCAAATAGATAAATTATCTACTTAAGATACATTTATATCATTAAATTAAGGCTTTAAAACCTTATCAATCTCTTCGTTGCCTATGCTTTACTGCCAAACTAAAGTATCCTATGCCTAGGCCTATTATTAGGCAAGTAGGGAAATATGAACAATTTAAAAAGTAAATTTTAAAGCGTTACCCAATTTTCCGCCACTGAAGGAGTCGTTATACAAAATAATTGAACTTTTGACTACAAGTATACAAAAATTCAGGATGCGGCATGGTGGAAATTTTTCACGATCGTTAATTTAAATATCGAACAAAGCTTCTCACGTTGACCTTGCCAAATTTCGCTTTTGTTTGGTTTCCTACTCTTATAGAAAAATACTGAAGCGATTTCAAAATCGCGTTAAAAACAGCTACTTACATTCGTGACCAATCTATTTTAATGAAAAACTTCCATGAATATACTGCATATCCCAAAAAGTATGGCGGTTTTAAATCATCAGTCAATCGCACCCATAATTTGACAATCCTAAAGTTAGGTATCTTTGCGGTGAATTATGAACGTGACCCAATTTTCCAAATATGCCGACCAATATAATCTTATTTTTTGGGGCATGAAGATGAATCAATAAAAAAATCAGCGTGCGGCATGGTGCCGTTTTTGAGATAAAATAAATTTAAATTTTGAACTATTTCTCCGTGGAACTGACAATATTAGAGGCATACACACATTGTAAAATTTTGTATATAAAATGAGCCGATCAGGCTTCAAGTTCACTCCGCCATGCTCAGGTCTTTTGTGGTTGTGGTGACACAAAACCCTATAATATTGCACCTCCCAGGAGGCCTGGATCGCAATCAAAGTGTCACATGGTCGGTTGGCGGGAAAAATTTTGCGCGTCGCCATTTGGCCGCAGCTTGCAGGCGCAAAAGCTCTTTGCACAGCGGCTGCAAACAATTTTGCTCTATGTTACCTATGTGTAGATGTCTACTTTTATATTCTCTTTTATGATATGACCATCTTCTTTTTTCAGGTATTGCTGTGAATAAAACAGCAACTCAGTCATCTCTGTTTGGACATGGAGCGGCCTGGAAGGCAGTTGATGGTTCCTACGGAGAAAGCTATGATAAAGAACAATGCACCCATACCGATGAAGGGTTGAGTTGGTGGCAAGTAGACCTGGCTAAACAACATATTATTGCGGCAGTGCAGATTACAAACAGGGATGTATTGTCAGAAAGGCTGAGCAATTTCACTGTGATGGTGGACAGTCAGATGTTAGTATTAATTAAGAATACAAGCACATACATACAAACACGCGCGCGCGCACGCACGCACGCACGCACATAAAGAAATACACATGCACATAAACATTTGCTTAAGCGGGCTAAAAAGCCAACTCTCGATAAACGACAAGGTAATAGTATGGTGTGAGCGTATCCTATTACATTAGAAAAAGGTCGTAAAGTTTCAAAATATTGCTAAAATCTGAACCTTTAATTAAACTGTACATTTTATACTGCAAAAACCAGTTTATTTTTTCACTATATTAAAGGCTAAAAGCTTTTCATGCATGTTATCTAAGTATAAGCAATTGCAGGAAAGGAGCGAGTGTAGTGGGACCTTTTGTTAAGGAAAATTCATTTTGTCAATTTATTTTTGATATATCTTTCTTTTTCTATTTTGATCTTATTCATATTTTTGTATGCTTTATGAAACAGAAACTCCCATTAGTTGGAAAAACAACTAGCAATCAAATATCATTTTTTGATTGGAACCAAAAATTTAGCAATCAAATATCATTTTTTGTAGATGCCACAATTTCACATCTACTGCTGGAACGGGAAAAACATATTTACCATGTAGCAGGCCATTGCAGGGACAAACAGTGAAAATTCAAAGGTTTGTCAGTGGCGTTCTGTCTTTGTGTGAAGTCGATGTTATCGGTGACGAAATTTGAATGCAAGTGTGCTGATGGTCTTGCTGAAAACATGATGCCTCTTCAAAACATACCTTCCACTGACTAGCTTCAACAATAATGCATCATTTCGTTCAATATCAAAAAGAAAGAGACTGGCTTGTGAGAGCTTTAAACTATTAGCTATGCATGATTGTTGATTTACATACTGCAGCTACTTAACAAAAGTTAAAATCCATTTGTGATTTGGTAGGCAGTAACAACACTAGATACTGTAAATCCTTGCTTCAACGCCTTTGGGCTTATGGAATTTGGCAGCTTTTAGATGGGGACTATTTTGAGAGAGGCTTATAGGAGGGGGCTTGCAAAAATCATCTCCAAGGTGCTATACAAAAAGCTCATTTGGCAGCTTTTTTGCAATTTTCAAGTTCATTGATATGAAATTTTATTTAATAGCCTTTTCGAATATATCCACAAAGGAATAAATCAAAGCACAAAAAGATTTTTTGTCCAAAATATTTATATTTTCATCGCCTTTGGCGCTTCGTCAATCTCTTTTTCATTTTCGCTTTTTTCATCCACCCCTGAATGTGTTATCGATGGTGCATATTTGTGGAAAAAAATGGTGCATATTTTTATTTATTTCGACTGAGCAGGGTATTCGAGAATTTACGATAAAAGAGCACGCATTGTAGCATGGCATGTCCTGAAGTGGGGTAATAACTCTTACCACATTAATTCAAAAGTTATACTTGCCATGTTGAAATGGCGCAAATACTGAATTCAGAACGACAAAAAGCTCACTACACACTGTATTTTTTCTGGTTTCCATTGTTTTTAAAGTAGGTGTATTTGGAAAAGAAAATGTGGGTTAAGTTTATAATTTTTGAAGTAATTTTACAAGTGTTACAAGGCTCTTCAGCATAGGGGCGTCACCAAGAGGTTGAACTTTCAAAGTGTGCCACTTAAGTATGAACTTTGAAATAGAAACGCATATCTATGTTTAACAGCAAAAAACCTATTCATCTTATGACCACACCCTTAGAGAGTGAGACACGCCTTTTTGTCGACAAAAATCATTTCTGTACCCCTCCGTAAAAAAGTTTCTGTCGCCCCTGCTTCAGCATGTTGGAAACGAACATTGCTTAAGCGCTATTGAACTTCTGCAAAATCATCTAGCTTGGCTGGAAGTGCTAAAGAGTTTTGAAATAAATGGAAGCGAACGTATAAGAGAATAAAAGGAGCCCAAACGTAACTGATATTGTCATTTTTTGATCGAATTTTTGGCTATTGTTTTTAATTTGAAAGCATCAAGAGAATTCAAAAATTTGTCGCTAGATGATTTCTCTCGACTTCAATGTCTTTCTAGGTTTATTTCCGATTTCTATCTGAAAAGGCGGCTTAGTAAGAGTGGG